TCTTGATGAGGTATGAATGATAAACAATGATGGGTCACACTTGCTGTCCTGGAAATCGAAAGATTGGAGAGAAGTTTTTAGTTTATCAAACCATGCTTGTGGAGCCTGTTTGAACCCATAGAGCCTTGTTAAGCTTGCATACAAGCTGTTTATTAGATCCTTCAAATCCGGGAGGCTGAATCATGTACACTTCTTCATCAAGATCACCATTTAAAAAGGCATTAACATCTAATTGCCTAAGTGTCCAGCCATGAGTGAGGGCCAAGGTAAGGATAATGCGAATAGTAACTGGGCGAACCACTGGACTAAAAGTCTCATTGTAGTCAAATCCATGGTTTTGATGAAAACCTTTGGCAACCAATTGTGCTTTATATTTGTTGATCGAGCCATCAAGATTTTCTTTTAATTTGAACACCCATTTACATCCAATTGCAGACCTGTTATGAGGAAAAGTAACAAGAAACCAAGTGTGGTTAGCCAACAAAGCATTATACTCAATCTGCATTGCCTCAAGCCAAGGTGGACTGGAAAGAGCTTGCCTAACTAAAGTTGGTTCAACATTAGTAAGGAGAGCTTGAGCTCCAGCTAGAGTTTTGGATCTGGTTTGAATGGAACGGACAGGTGAATGAAGAAGATAGGAGGTAGAGGGCAAGAACTCAGAAATGCCAGATTCATGTGAGGAGGATGATGAGGAGGAAGTAGAGGACTCCAAGGAAGGAGGAGTTGGGAGTTTCGATTGGGAACAGAATTTATAGAAGCAGGAGGGGATAAAAGCTGAGAACCAGGTGTGGGAGAGTGAGTTGAAATTTGTGGTGATGGGGTTAAATGATTATGGTTGACACTGGACAGAGGCGGAGACTGTTCTGAGTGAGAATTCAATGAAGTAGGACCTTGTGCATTCGATGATGAACTGCAGACTGTGGAAAAATCTGAAATGAAGAGAGGTATAGAATGGGTGGCTGCTGGAACAAGTGAGGCAGTGTTGCCAGTCCAGGAACTAGCTAAGGGAAACAAATATTCATTGAAAATTACATCTTTTGAAATGAATATTTGCCATCCTTGTTACGACAAATGTACCCTTTATGACTGGTGGAATATCCAAGAAAAAACACACTCTTGAGATCTGTATTCGAGTTTGTGATTATTGTAAGGTCGTAAAAAAGGAAAGCAAGTACACCCAAATATTTTCAGGAACTTGTAATCAGGTTCAACTTTGTAAAGTCTTGTGCAAGGAATTTCAAAATCAAAGGAAGCTGTGGGCACACGATTGATGAGATAGACGGCTGAATTAAATGCATAGTCCCAAAATTTTAGAGGAAGAGATAAGAAAGAAGGGTCAAACCAGTCTCTACAATGTGTCTATGTTTTCTCTCAACCACACCATTTTGGTGGTGTGTGTGAGGACAGGTTACCCTATGTAAAATATCATGTTGGAGGAATTGTGTGAAAGATCGCAACTCCCCACCCCAGTCTGTTTGGATAGCCTTAACAGAAGCATGGAACTGATTTGTAATCATGGAGTGAAATTGTTTGAATATGGCAATAGCATCTGATTTTTGTTTGATGGGATATATCTGTAAAGAACCTTGGGATACACCACCCCAAAAGCTAGCTCAAAGGGTGGGAGTGCCCAAGGCCTTATAAACTCCACATTAGTTGCACACACAACCAATGTGGGACTATATATCTCAACACGCCCCCTCACACGAGAGCCCATTGGGCTTGAAGAGTCGATGATATAACAGGCCCAGCCTACCTGTGCTAAGAAATTCCACAAGAGAAAGTGGGGGGCGGCGATGCTCTGATACCATGTAAAGAATCTTGGGATAAAAGGAAATGTAGTATGAATTACCAAGAGTAGATTTTATAGGTGTTGGTCACTATAGACTAATTCAAAAGGTATATTATAGACAGATTGTGAAGGAGAATGAAGTTTATGTGCTTTGCCAAGACAACAGAAAGAACAAAAATCCAGCTCATTTTTATTATTAAAGGCAATTTTACATGCATTGAGAACTCTCTTTAAAGCTACATGATGTGGATGTCCTAAGCGACAGTGTCACAATGAGTAAGAAGTATTAGAAATGACATTGGAATTTGTACAAGTATAAAACTGTGAACTATTACAACTTGAAACCACTGAAGCTAGATGTGAAACTGAAGGAGACTTGACAGATGTTGAGACCATTTAGACTGGATGTGAAACAGAAGGAGACTGAACAGATATAGTGACTTGAAGTAGATGCATACTTGGAAAACAGTACAAACCATCTTTACTCACTATTCCTTCAAGAAGAATTTTATGGGTCTCCTGCGATTTGACGAGACATTTAGAGGAGTAAAATTCAAAGTAAACATTGTTATCTTGTGCAAAGTGTCTTAACACTTAGCAAATTCTTCACTATGGAAGGAACAAGAAGAAGATTTTTAAGTGTCAATTATGTATGACAATCTACAGGAGATAGAAATTTTGATGAACCAATTGCAAGAATAGGCAAACCTTGTCCGTTACCAATGATTACTTGATCAGTACCAGAGAGTTGTTGACTCTAAAGCAAGTTGGATGGATGTGAAGTAACATGATGACTGGCACCATAGTTTGGGAACCACTCAATGATTGGAACTAATGTTGGAAGAGGCAACAGGCCTGGTTGAGAAGCTCGAGAAGTTATCATTGCTTGTGGCTGAGCAATAACCATTACCTAAGGAGCAAAATTTACTTGCTGATGAACATATTGATATAGTTTCTGTTCTTGAGTCACAAAATACTGCAGCTCGTTTGCAGTTGGAGGAGGAATGTTTGGCACAAAATTTTCATCAAATCGATACTAGCAGGAATGTACATCGTGGCCATATTTGTAACAAAGTTGACAATGAACCTTGGATCGAGGACCATGTTCATGTTCTTTGTTATTACGTCTACCAGATCTTCCTCTCCCTCTATTTGCATTAGAAGGAGCAGAATCATGAAACTCTTGCTCCTAGTTCATGCTCTGTTTCTGGTTCAGTAAAACAGGGGCAAACAAAGTATTTTTCTTTGTGTGATTTTGAGTTACAACAATGTTAACAGAGGCTGGGTCACTCAACAGTGACTCACTATTTCAGTAGAAGCTGTTCAAAGGCCATTAGCTCGATTGCTCATCAACTCCATAGGCCTTTTCACTTACATGAACACTTATATTAGAGTATAATATAAACTATAAAGAGACTATCACCTAACAACTTAAGTTTTTGGGTTGAATTGGTTCTTTACATGGTATCAGAGTTTCGGTGTCACGGGTTCGATCCTTATCGACCCTATTTTTTCTTGTGGAATTTCTTAGCAAAGGTAGGCTAAACCTGATACATCATCCACCCTTTAAATCCAATGAGATCTTGTGTGAGGGGCGTATTAGAGTATAATATAAACTATAAAAAGACCATCACCTAACAGCTTAAGCTTTTGGGTTAAATTGGTTCTTTACAACTTAGAACAAAGGAATTGGAGTCTGAAGGCAAACCTTCAAGTATGTAATCGATCTGATCATCAACAGAAACAAGATTATTGATCGCCTTCAAGGAGTTGCAGAGAGTTTTGATTCTGGATAAATACTCCGAAATTGTCTTCGCACCTTTCTTCATCGAACGAAGATTAGATCTGAGGTTTCTGGCTCTCAATTTCATCATACCGTGAAACAATTTATGGATCTTGTCCCAAGCTTCATGAGAATGTTTCACTCCAATGATTTCATTCACTATTGATTCAAAAAGCGTTGAAAGAAGTCAAGTCAACAACATCTGATCTTGTGTGAGCCAAGTTATATACTCTGGATTGATCGATTCACTGTCTCGATCTTCTTCAGTGAGAAACTTCAATGGAACTTTTGGATTTACAAGGAATCGATGAAGTTGATGAGTTGTGATTATTGGCTAAACGATTTGACTCCAAAACAGAAAGTTATCTTCCGTGAGTTTTACGGAAATCTGATAGTTGAAGAGATTTGGAGTTTTCTCCATCAAAATTGTGTGATTCGAGTTGCGGTTTGAGTTGGCACTGTCACTGTTGTTGTTTTCTTGAGAAGATGATGTTGCGGAAGCCATGAGTGGATCTAGAACTGGATCAGGCCCTCAGAATGAAGGATCTGATACCATATCAGAATTCTAGAGAGAGAGAGAAGAAGGGGAGAGAGAGAGAGACAAACATTGATTTAACTGAATATTTCACAATAATGAGACTTGTACATGAAAGCTCTATTTATAGAGCACACCAATAACTCAGATCTAAGACACCAGAATAACAAACTTACAAAATAGAGAAACAAACTAACTAACAGAAGAAAGAAAGATCTGATACATGTAGTAGTAGAATAACATAGCTACATACACCTACATACACGATACAAGAGAACACAAAGCTAAAGCTTATTCATATCACTAATAATTTTTGTGGCCTTTTAATGTGTATTGACTTGTTAGAGAATAATATAAATCATTAAAGAGACCCTCACCCAACAATTTAAGTTGTTGAGTTGAATTGGTTCTTTACATGGTATCAGAGCCTCAGTGTCCTAGGTTCGATTCTCACCACCCCCCATTTCCTTTGAAGAATTTCTTAGGACAGGTAGGTGGGCTTGTGCATTATCCACCTTCATGCCCAATGGGCTCTCTTGTGAGGGGGCGTGTTAGAGAATAATATAAATCATTAACGAGGCCCTCACCCAACAACTTAAGCTATTAGGTTGAATTGGTTCTTTACCTGACCGATGTCTAACTCTCAATTTTTTTTTTATTTAAATAATGGTAATGGTACATTTTTGTTGGCTTTATTGAGATGGATATTTATGTGTTTATCTACCATTGGTGCTTATGATTAGATTTGTTAGACCCTTTTGGATGCTGATTCTTTCAACACTTTTTGTGATTTCTAGTGCATGTTGCCTCTTGACATCTCTTCGTTAAGTTTGGTATTTCTGTAAATATAGACATTCATTACCTTGATGCTTACTATGATTTTTTTTCAGTTCTTAGCGGTTAGTTCACTTGGATCTCCTATTGAAACTCGCAAAAGTGGCAAATCATCTGTGTTCTCCTTATTTAACCTTAAAGAAAAAAGTCGATTTTGGAGTGAGGATGTAATACATAACGGTATGTCTATGCCATGTTCTTTGAATAAACATATCAATTTTCCTTATCGTGTATGGGTTTCTTTTGATTCTCTTATTATGTTGGTTCCTCAGATTTTGATGATTTAAAGTTTTCAAGTCGGGGCAAAGTAAGCGCATTTAACTACACCAATGCAGGTATACATGCGTTTTTCAAAACTAACTTTATTTCTTTGATATTATACTATTTTTTGTTTGATGACTTACCAAATTATATTTTTTAAATCATTCTTCTATCTAATAAATATTTATTTTATAGAAAATTAGTTCATTCTATGTTACTTGGTACAAAAAGTTAACTTAGGTTGTGAGACTCTTTGCTTCTTTACATATATAATCGGGATATGATTACTTGTGTAGTTTATTGGCCTCTCATTTAAGTGTATCATTTATATAGAAACTCAGAAAATGTTGAATAGTTGGAATTTGCTTTTACATTTATTGGAGACTATATCAACATACATCAATGTCTCCTTTATCTAAAATTAATTAAGATTGGCGGTCAATGAATCCAAATAAAAAGCAAGTAAAATTTGAGGGAAAAGAAAAATAAAATAAAAATAAGAAAGAATAATATAGTAAAAGGGAAAAAGCAAATAAGAGAAATATAAATAAATGAATAAATAAAAGGAAAATGGACTAAAAAAGGTCTGTTTGGAACATAGGGAAAATTAAATTTACTCCTCTACAATGCTAATAGTTTTTTCCACTCCATCTCCTAAGATACATTATATGCCAATTTATTTTTCATTCTATTAAGTTTTGTTTTACTGCTTCCCCCAAGTAAATTTTGGCTAATCTCTTCCGCTCTTTGTGTTATGTTCTTGGTTTCAATTTTTTGTTCTAACGGAAGTTTCCAGGGGTCTTCAAATAGTATGCCGAAATCATTCAATTTATGTTCTCTAATCTTTTTTGCCACCGATATTATTCCTACTATTTCTCAAATACTATTCTTATCTTATGTTTGACGTCATTTATGTAGCAACTTCTTGCTTCATTGCACACCTACCTCAACATGTCTTGAAAGGAATAAAAAGTTCAACAATATTTGGATAAATAGATTGGCAAAGAATGCTTAGGAGTTGGCATCATGGTTGTCAAACTCGCGCACTAGATGTGATCCTATCCTTGTTTTGCACTAGCGATCCAAATCGCATGTAAGGTTGCCCCTTATGCTTGAATCACATTGAAACACCGTTGAAAATCGTAAACTCGGTGGGATTGGATTGTTCCAATGATTGTGAAAAAATCCATACCTAGAAAAAATGATCGAGGACCTATTCACCATGACACGATTTTAATTTTTTCCCTAATTTGTAAACCCTATGGCCATTTTTTTCCGTGTCATTCTTACCTGCCCAGCTTTGACAGCCATTTTTGCCTTTGCATTTGCGAATCAAGAAACCTAGGACCTTCACGCTTCTTCAACCGTCACCTATGTTTGAAAGTTGGCTTCTGCCTTTGTGACTACGGCTGAACATTGGATTCTTTCTGTTACTGAACGGAGTTCACAGGGTTTTGTCGCAACGACAAAATGTTGGGGACTTCTTATGGTTAGTGTTTGCTTCACAACCTTCTTCTTTTTGGGTATGGAATTCGTTCTATGTTATTAAGGTTTTGGAGTTGACTTATTTCACTTCCAATGCTTTAGCCTTTAGTTCCCAAATGACACTATGCTTTATGTTTGGTTCTTTGAAGATTAATTTTGGATTTTGAGAATGTGTTAAAATTATAATTTAGAAGTATAATCGGGATATAATTACTTGTGTAGTTTATTTGGATCGTAACTGACGGTAAATTGGTAATGATGCATATGATTTATTTGGTAATGATTTGGAGTTATCGTTTGTTTTAGCTCTTTTATTGTCTTTTATATTTGTTACTTATATGATTGAAGTTGTGATTTAAATGTTATTTTACATGCATATGTAAGATCTTACAATGCACGTTGATCCCATGATTTACGATCTTTCTACTTTCTTTCGATTTGTAGGTAAGATCTTGATCTTGACAACCTTGTTGGGCATCAACCCTTCCATTCAGCCTGTTGGTCCTTCGTAATATCCTTAAGTTTTGTGGTGATATGGTCCAAATACCCCTAACTTGTAAATCAAATCTCAATAGAGGTATACCAAGTCTTGTAAATAGCTAATCTATCAATTTTCTCGTCATAATGGACAAGACCGCATCAGAAGTGAGGTCTACAATGCCTTTACCTATTTGGGTGAGAGATGAAACCTCTAAGATATCGGAACTTGAATCTCCCATTAGAATAGGTTACATATAAGAGCCTCAAACTTGCAAGAAAGACAAAAGCTGACTGAAAAACATCAAAGGGGCAAAAAATCACTGCAGTAAAAAGCAAAATGATGGTAGTTTGCTAGAATTTTCCAAACTGCTTGGACCTATGACCAAACAAGACCAGATTCAGACAATGATGAGCGAGACCAGGTGTTCTGTGATGGTCAGGTTGAAAAAGACAACTAGAAGACGGCTCACGTGCTTCTTGAAAAAGTTTTGACCGCTAGATCTAAATGTTGTTGGCATGTGGAGGTGCGTTCCACCTCCAATTGAGGTGGGTCTTGCACAGACTTGGTCATTGGAAGGAGGATTCTGATCGTTTGGTTGCCGCCAGACAAGGAAGATGTACGACATTGATGATTTGCAAGTAAGACACACAGAAAGGAATATGGCCACTAGGTAGTGGTCCCAGTAAGATTAGAGTTCTGCGAAAACAAGGTTTTCCCGGAACGTGAACTCTGGTAGCAACTTGAGATTTGTTATAGTTCTGGACAAAATGCAATATGTTCAAAAGAAAGTAGGAAATTCAAGAAAGAACAATTCTTTATTGATTAACAAGGAAGTGTACAAAGATAGATTACAAGAGCAAACTCTTCTCGAGGGGAACTTCCCTTCACAATGAGAGTTCTCTGTTAGTCTGCAAAACACCCAAGATTTCTTTCTAATAGAGTTAGACTCGTATACACTTTCCCCCTTTTCGCGCTAACTCCTAACAAACTAACTACCTACTAACTAACCTACTACTACTTGAGCATGTTCTTCGGGGAATATACTTTTCAGACAATAGGCTTCTCTCTTCCTATATTGCTATGCATAGTAAGATTGAGGAACTATCTAATTAGACCACACAAGGATTATATTTATAATACATGGGCTTGGGCCTTATTTGCACAATGAGGTACAAATAAACAAATAGCCTATGCATATATACTTTCTAACATTATCAATTCCCTATCAAGGGTTTTGCTCATTTGCTTCTTTGGGATACTAGAGATTTATGGATGTTTCTTGTTACATTTTGATTTAGGGGTTGTCGACGTATCTTTTTGTTTTATTCTTTTCCCGTTTATATCATTTTCGCATTATCAAGTTCTGGTAAATTATAATTTCTTTTTTATTTAATTTGTTATGAAGGAGTTTGAGTCCATTATTGAATTTCCACACTCTGTTGGAGTATGATTGTAGTTAGTGTTTTGTTGTTATGGAAGTATTCTGCACGTGTGCAATTATCGACAATTGTCATCTCTGTTAGTTAGTTACGGACGATTGTTCTATTAGGTAGAAAAATAGTTCAAATATATATTTTACTGATCTTTATAGAACACATGATATATCACTCTTAGATTTATATGCTGGAGCAAGTCTGCCTGTCTCTCCCCCCTTTTTCTATCTCTTATATAATCTATAACCTTCTCTCTTAATTTTTTATTACTAACATGGTACCAAGAGCATAATTTCGACCCAATTCCATGGCTTTCCCTGGCAAACTTGGACTGAGATAGAGAAATAAACCCAATATTATGCTTCTTGACATCAATTCACAAGAAATAATCTAAGTCACCAAGATCTTTGAGGGCAAACTTGGAGTTTAAATCAGTGGTCAGGTGTTGAATGAAGGAAGCATTATTTCTTGTGACAATGATGTGATCCACATATACTAAGATGTATACGCATCTGTTATCACGATGAAAAATAAAGAGGGAAGGGTCACAACTGTTGGACTTGAAGCCAAGGAGAACTAAAGCTTGTTTTAATTTATCAAACCAAGCTCTAGGAGCTTGTTTAAGACCATAAAGGGCCTTATCCAGCTTGCACACTAGAGTTTTATCAGCAGCCTCAAAGCCTGGGGGCTGTTGCATGTAGACATCTTCAATTAAATAACCATTGAGAACCGCATTATTGACATCTAGTTGCCTCAGGCCAGCCAAAGGTAAGAGCAAGAGTGAGCAAAATCATCACAGTCACTGGTCTAACAACAGGGGAGAAGGTTTCAGTAGAATCCAAACCTTGTTGATGAATACCCTTAGCAACAAGTCGAGCGTTATACTTGTTTATGTAAAGAACCAATTCAACCCAAAAGCTTAAGCTGTTGGGTGATGCTACATTAATGGTTTTATATATCTCAACACACCCCCTCACACGAGAGCCCACTGGGCTTGAAGGGTGGACAATGCACAGGCCCACCTGCCTGTGCGAACAAAGAAATTCCACTTGAAAGAAAGTGGGGGGCGGCGAGGATCGAACCCGAGACACGAGGCTCTGATACTATGTAAAGAACCAATTCAACCCAAAAGCTTAAGCTGTTGGGTGAGGCTACATTAATGGTTTTATATATCTCAACAGTTTATAACTCCATCTGAATTCTCCTTCATTTGAACACCCACTTGCTCCCTATAGCCTTCTTGTTAGAAGGAAGAGGCACAAGATACCATGTGTGGATTAGCTTGCAAGGCCTGAAATTCTGTTTTCATAGCTGCCTGCCATTGATGACTGACCAAGGCTTGTTTGATAGTTGTGGGTTCCATGTGTGTGAGAAGAGCTAAAGATCTAGCAAGAGTTTTTGACCTTGTTGTAACAGTGTGAGTAGGAGAAGGAGGACTAAGACTAGTTGAGGGTTAATACTCAGAAGGAGAGGAGGACAAAGAAGAAGATGAGGAGGAGGACTGACTTGAATGTATAGGAGAATAGGTCTGACCTGAACTGGAACTGTTCTGATCAGAGGCAGTGGAGATAACAGGGGTGGAAGATGATTGTGAGGAAGAATGAGACATAATAGGTTGGTCAGCAACATTGTGATCAGTGTGAGTATTCACTGCAATATTAGGAGAAGTGTGAGTAGTCTGATCTGAGACAGAACTAGTTGCATTAGCAGTAGGGGAGAAAACTGATTGGTGAAGGTTGTAGTTTAGGGAAACAAGAGGAAGAGAGAGTAGGTGGTGAGGAGGTTGATGGGTTGGATTTATCATTCCACAAAGGGTATGGGAACCCGTTTTCATTGAATCAGAATCCTTTGATATATATATATATATATATATATATATATATATATATATATATATATATATATAGCCATCTGGATTTTGACATAGGTATCCTCTGTGATTTGTAGCATAGCCAATGAATATACACTCTTGGGACTTGAACCCCAACTTATGTTTATTGTCGGGTCGAAGGAAAGGAAAACTGGCACACCCAAACATTTTAAGAAATTTATAATCTGGAACAACACTGAACAACTTGGTGTAGGGAACTTGGAACGCTAAGGAATTTGTTGGTAACATGTTAATAAGGTATACAACAGAGATGAAAGCATAACCCCACTATTTCATTGGCAGGGAAGCAGTTGAAAGCATGGTTAAACTGGTTTCAACAATATGTCTATGTTTGCGCTCAAATATTCCATTTTGATAATGGGTGTGTGGACATGCTATTCTATGGTTAATCCCATGAAGGAGATATTGTGTAAAGGACTTGAATTCCCCTTCCCAGTCAGTTTGTATGGATTTAATTGGTAGTTGAAATTGAGTAGTAATTAGAGAGTGAAATTTTTTGAAAGTTTGAAGAGCATCAGATTTTTGCCTCGATATATCCATGTAAATCGAGTATTGGCATCTACAAAGGAGATATAATATAGGTGTCCCATAATGAATTTTACTGGTGCAGGGCCCATAAATCACTATATATCAGTTCAGAAGGCTTGTTGTAAATAATGGTTGAAGGTAATGCAGGCAAACAATGAGCTTTACCAATGAAACAAGCTGAACAGAAATTTTCCACTGCTTTATTATTGAAGGGAATATTGCAAGTTTGAAGAATAGACTTAAGAGTATCTTTGTGTGGATGCCCTAAACGGCAGTGCCACGTTGAGTAGGCAGAATTTCCTATATCACGAGACTGACCACTGTTTGCTTGAGCATTATCACTACAACCAAAAGACCTTGCTATGGACACAACATTACAAACAACAGGTACATTACTGGAATTAAAAGGAACACTTGAGGCATTGTGTGAAGTACGAGTTGAGACTTGATGTAGATCAATAATTCCATCAAATTTATAAAGACCACTGGAGTCAAGAGTACCTTCAATTAAAACTTTGTCTGACCTCTGCGATTTGACAAGACAAACAGTACGATGAAATTCAAAGCATACAACGTTGTCTTTTGCAAATTGACTAACACTCACAAGGTTTTTCATAATTGAGGGAACAAGAAGGGGATTTTTGAGGTGTAATTGTGTGTCAGAATCAAGAGGTGCAGTGAAATTTGATGAGCCAATGGCTGTGACTGTCAAACCTTGGCCATTTCTAATCAATATCTGATCTGCACCACTCAACTGTTGACTTTGAATCAAATTTAGTTGATTGGAGGTGACATCATGTGTTGCACCAGAGTCTGGATACCACTCTAAAGCATAAGTAGGTGTTGGTAGAATTCCAGGTTGTGCAGCGACCATAGCTCGTGGTGTAGCTAGTATGGATGGAGCATTTGCAGGACGAACATACTGAAAAGAATGATTCTGTTGAGGCATTGCATGTTGCTGAACTTGATGAAAGAACTGAGGGAAAAATTGTGGATTAGAAGCATTATAAGGGGGAGGAAGAGTTGGAACAAAATTCTCATCATATCTATGGCAACAAGTTTGAACATCATGTCCAAACTTGTAGCAGAGATGACAGTAAACATTTAATCTTCCTCCACGTCCTTTTCCTCTGTTATTACGTCCTCCATAGCATCCTCTTCCTCTATTTGAGGGAAATGTACGACTGAAATTATCATAACCAGTGCTCTGTTCCTAATCACGTAAAACAGGGGCAAACAGAGTGTTACTGTTTCCACTGTTGTTGATGATACTTTGTTTTCCAGAATCTGACGCATGTTGAGTCAAATTCACAGTCTTGGATTCAGAGATCATAGCTTCTGATTGCTTCACTGACATTTGTTCATGTGTCATCAATTGAATACTTAGATCTTCAATAGAATATGCATTCTCACGTCCATGAACAGTTGTGAGAAACGCAATATATTATGTTGGTAATCCTCCAAGAATAATATCAGTACGCTCTTTATTACTCACTGGACTTCCTATAGCCTTCAAGGAATCACAGATACCTTTGATACGAGAGAGATACTCCTTCACTGTCTCCGATCCCTTTTTGATGGAGTGTAACTCAGATCTCAGCAATCTTGCCTTCGATTTCATCATTCCTTGAAATAACTTGTGTATTTTATCCCAAGCTTCATGTGAATACTTCACTCCTAGAATCTCATTCACCACTGATTTTGAAATGGTTGAGGGAAGCCACGAGAGAAGCATGGAATCTTGCGTTATCCATTTGACATATGCAGGATTTTGAACTCTATCGCTTCGATCTTCCTCTGACTGAAACTGAAGTGGTATATTCAGATTCACCAGGAAATGATCCATTTGATGCGAAGTTATAATAGGATCTACGATCTGGTTCCAGTACAAGTAATTGTGCTCTGTTAACTTCACTGCTATTTGCTGATTGAACAATTGTGGCGCTCTGTTTTCTGTTGCGCGATTCTCCATAGCTGAGTTTCGATTTGTTTGCGAAGATTCTCGAATTGACAGAGGCGAGTCTGATGCGTTTGAATTTGATGCGTAAGACATGGATTGGCTAACTATGGATTAGGCTTTCAGATCGAAGGCTCTAATACCATGTAAAGAACCATTTCAATCCAAAACCTTAAGGTGTTGGATGAGGACCTTTTTAATGATTTATATTATTCTCTAACATTAGAGAAGCCATGTGGCGTGCTATGAACAGAGAAGGGGTAGTGGGGGAAAGCATGGGAGGACGTCCCCCGAGTCAAGAGGCAATATAAGGTAGTTAGGAGCTAATGATGGGGGTGGAGAAAATATTCCAAGTAAGGGGAGTGGAGGCTGCTGGGCATGGTGCTCAGTTGCTGGGTTTTGGGGACAATTTCCAAAAGATGGGTATTTTACAGAAGACAGGTAGACAACAGTCCATTAGAAGTCAGTAGTGCAGTATTGTGATTTCAGAGTCATCGTTGTATTTGTTCTGTTTTTCTTAATGAGACAATATAACATGTATGGAGATGATTTCCAGTAATATTGCTTTATTAATATGAAGTGGTGTTCTGTTTTTGTTCCCTTGTTTGATTGGGTACCAACACCCTTTCATAGGACCATACATGCACAACTCAAACTAGCCTATAGAACTCAAGAATGAGTTTTTTTTGGGTACTCGTCTTCTCCCAAAGGCTATAAGTGTCTCTCTTCTGATGTACACATCTTCATCTCCTCATATGTGCTTTTCAATGAATCTTGCTTCCCCTATTCAGATCTTTCCCGTTTTTGGTGGAATGACAACGTTCCTTTCACTTCCACTTCCTATTTCTGCACAAATTCCACGTGACCCCTGCTGCCCAATCTCACAAAATTAGTGTTTTTTTCCCCTCGATTGCCAAATACATACGTAGATATTTTGCTGCATGACAATAATTTTAATAATGCCCAGCACTTTAGGGCGTGGATTGGCTAAAGCTTCTGCAATTTATTTTTAAACTGTCAATATTGAGCACGTATAGTTATTTTTTAATTTTTATTTTATTCAGGTAATATTGCAAACTATCTAAAGCTTCAGGAAATCGATTCCATCCACCTTCCAGTTCCTATGAATTTTATATTTATAGGATTTGAAGGGAAGGGCAACCAAGGTACATAGTTGGGAGACTAACTCATCTTTTCTTTGCTTATTCCATTTTATTGGTATTGTGGATTCTGTAGTGCTGTTTATGTCCCACAGAATTCAAACTTCTTCCGGAAGAAATTGAGCGTTGGTTTACCAAAATTGATCATATCTTTGAACATACACGGATTCGGCATGAAGATGTTCTAACTGCATTTTACAAAACTAGCAGAGATAAAATGCGTTGGCACCACCTTCCTGTTGTCAGTCACATAAATTACAAGTAACACTTTCATTTCTTATAATCTGGTTTTTCATGTAAAAACTAGTGCTTGGCATCATTTTTGTTTTCTGATGAATGTGATTTCTACATTTCTGAGGGGTTTATTACTTTAAAGATTCAATGAAATAGGGCTTTTTGTCATATGAAGAAGTGTGTGGAAAATCACACATTGATTTGGCATGAAATTTGGAGATCTTCATCATAAAACCTTTGATCCAAATGAAGGGATGAAAAAGAAAAAATGGCTAGACTGAATTTTGAAAACCCATAGCATGTGCTAGCTTCTTTCTCAGATGAGAAGTGATAGGGTCTTCAACTAGCTTCAATTTTTGTCTCCTGGCTCCGATACATCAGTTTAAAATTAAAATTCTCATCTTACCGGTTCGATTATCGATTTGATTGTGCTTTTGTCTTTCAATTCATTTGGCAGTTTATCTTTTATTTATTTAACTAAAGAATATATTAGGAGAATAAAGAGAAGTAAATGGAAGGAGGGCAAGAAATTCTTCTGAATCAACCAAAACAAACTGAATTCAGAATATTATGTAAACCCATAAGAAAAACACTGTTAAAATGACATTTTTCTGTGTCTTTTTCTTTGGGCCGTCTTGGTTGAAGGTATAAGTTGTGGAATCTTCAAAGTAGATCTGTCATAAAAAATTTCCTCGTTTATTCTTTAAATCTCCTTTCAGTAAGAAAATTTGTATTATTGTTTCTTGCTACGATGATGTACTTCTTGATGCAGCTTTTCTGTCCATGCTATTGAGATGGGAGAGAAGGTTACCTCCATATTTGAGCATGCAATAAATGTCTTTGGTCGCAAGGATGACCCGATTCATAGCGGGTAAAGTATTTAATTTGTTATTTACTTAGATTATTAGAACTTCTACAAGAGGAATTTGTGAATGGAAATCCTCAACAAAACCGTCTATCTATGCATGAATTTACATTCTCTAATATTAGTAAAATAAAGAAACCATAAAATAATACAAATCAAATCTTACTTATTTAATTATAAACAATCCCAAAATCGGAGATATAGGAAATATTTTCCTAAACTGGAGATACCTTCCAACATTCCCCTAAGTAAAAGCATACAAATCATACGCTCAAAGCTTGTTATAGATGTGTATTTTTTAGGTACCCTTAGTGAATTTGAGGAAATGGACAAGTTGATCACTAGAATCAATAAATTCAACTCTGATTTCCAGAGAGAGCGTTCTGCCTGATGAAGTGACAATTAATTTCTATATGCTTGGTCCTCTTATGGAAGACCGGGTTTGAGGCAATATGTAAGGCTACTTGGTTATCATCGTATAGTTTCATATGATCAATATTTTCAAACTTCTCGTTGGCAACTACATTTTTTTTGGAATTTTTCCAAGATATAAAGTTTTATAAAGACAAAATATCCAAAAGTAGATCACCAATCAATGGGCAAATCATCCCAATTAGAATCAGAGTACCCCACAACTTGAGCAATACCCTAATCTTCATAAAGAAATCCTTGACCCGAAACATTTTTAATTTATCGGTAGATTCGTGCCTTTGCCTTTCAATGATCAACATATGTAGATTGCATGAATTGGCTCACCACACTAAGTGTGAAGGAAATGTTTGGTCTAGATAGCATAAGGTAGTTAATTTCAAACTAGCCTGCTATATCTTCCGAGATTTGAATAAGGTTGCCCTTATCGGTTAATAGTTTAATATTGAAATCCATTTGAGTGTCGATAGGATTGTAATTTGTCATGCCCATTTCAATATATCCTGTTGAATATCATAGATACAAGAGGAAATGATAGTAATCCTTGTTGTATTAAACTACACAACATTGGTGCTATTATATAGCAAACCAATTGAAGAATACAAAGAGACACACTCAATGTGGGACTTCTACACTATTAACACTAACACTCTTAACACTCCCCCTCAAGCTGTAGCATATAGATCATATGCTACAAGCTTGATACATAAATAATACTCCCATTAGGAACCAAAAACAACAATGCTACATCAACGAAATGAAATGACTAAGTACAACAAATCAACTGGAATGACCATCAGTCTGAAGAGCTGATAAAGAGACAGTGTTGGAATGGACATCAGAGCATGGATGGTGTCGGAATTATCATCGGCAAAGACAACTGAGCTGACCAGGACATCAGCATCAAGATCCCTCTCAGACATTTCATTTAACAGTTGGTGAGCAGCCGTGGTTTACCCTTGACTATGCTACAAGCTTATTACAAGAAAGACCAAGTAACATAACATCAAAATAAATCTCCTAAATGAGAAACCAAAAATCAACAATGTGCTAAAAATGGCGTCGAAATGAACATCAACATGGAAGATGCCGGAATGATCATCGGCAAAGACAATTGTGCTGGAATGACCATCAGCAACATGGATGGTGCTCCCCCTTAAGAGGAACTTCTAAACAGTGCCGGAATTATCATCGGCAAAGACAATTGTGCTGGAATGACCATCAGCAACATGGACAGTGCTCCCCCTCAAGAGGAACTTCTAAACAGTGCCGGAATTATCATCGGCAAAGACAATTGTGCTGGAATGACCATCAGCAACATGGACAATGCTCCCCCTCAAGAGGAACTTCTAAACAGTGCCGGAATTATCATCGGCAAAGACAATTGTGCTGGAATGACCATCAGCAACATGGACAATGTTCCCCCTTAAGAGGAACTTCTAAACAGTGCCAGAATTATCATCGGCAAAGACAATTGTGCTGGAATGACCATCAGCAACATGGACAGTGCTCCCCCTCAAGAGGAACTTCGGTGTCGGAATTAACATCAGCGGAGACAACATCAGCAACGTGGACAGTGCTCCCCCTCAAGATGGATGATGAATAGTATAAATACTCCATCTTGGGAAGAAAGAAGATTAAAGAAAAACAAATCTTCGCGGAATCGGAAAAGTTGTCGGAGACGGCGGTGGGTCGTCGGAAAAGTCATCGGAGACAGTGGTGGATCATCGAAAAAGTCGCTGGAAAGTCATCGAAAAAGTCATCGAAAAAGTCGCCGGAGACGGCTGTCAACGGTGGACGACGCGGTCAACGGTGGTCGGTCAACGACAACGGTGGTCAACTCAACAACTTTCCAAGGATCATTCTTTTCTGATGTGACAGATCAGTCTAAGCTGCAGTCACAGAGCATACTAAGAAAAACCCGAAAAAGAAATAGCAACGGGAATCTTTCAAGGAGGGTGATATCTCTCTATAACCATATTGAAATTATGGAAAATAGAACTAAATTAAACGGATTAAGATTCCTCTTGTTAGGCTCTAGATACCATGTTGAATATCATAGATACAAGAGGAAATGATAGTAATCCTTGTTGTATTAAACTACACAACATTGGTGCTATTATATAGCAAACCAATTGAAGAATACAAAGAGACACACTCAATGTGGGACTTCTACACTATTAACACTAACACTTTTAACATATCCAAAGCATACTTTCTTAGTGAAATTGCAAATCAAAATAATTATGAAAACAAATCAGGCACAGATCTTGGAAGCAAACCAGGTGCAGATCATTGATAAAATTCAAACAAGCAATAGCAATAGATCGAGATTTATTTAAATTAAAACGGAGAACTTTGTTAATCGTAATAAGAATAAATAAATAGGAGCTAGATCAAAAGGCTCATCCGGGAGATCAAAGAGGAATTTAGGAGAGTTGGTGATCTTGTACTTAGGCTTTTTATCGTTTCTGTTTCAATTCTGTCTTTCCCTTTTACCAAGCTTAGGTGCCATTACCATTTGGTTCATTATCAATTAAAGATTGTTATTTATATTCAATAAAGAATTTGTTTTTGTTCATTTACCTTCCATTCTTTAATCAAGTTTCATTTTCTGTAAAGAACCTTGGGATACACCACCCCAAAAGCTAGCTCAAAGGGTGAGAGTGCCCAAGGCCTTATAAACTCCACATTAGTTGCACATACAACCAATGTGGGACTATATATCTCAACATGCCCACTCACACGAGAGCCCATTGGGCTTGAAGAGTGGATGATGCAACAAGCCAGCCTTCCTGTGCTAAGAAATTCCACAAGAGAAAGTGGAGGGCGGCGAGGTTTGAACCCGGGACACGAGGCTCTGATACCATGTAAAGAACCTTGGGATACACCACCCCAAAAGCTAGCTCAAAGGATGGGAGTGCCAAGGCTTTATAAACTCCACATTAGTTGCACATACAACCAATGTGAGACTATATATCTCAACATTGATACCAAATTAGAATGTATGAATGTATTGTATTCAATTGTGTATAGAACTATACAAAAGACCTCTATTTAAAGAGGTTAAATGACCTAATGGGCCAAACCCAAATAACCTACTAGAATAACAGAATAATAAATAATACAATACTAATTAATATTATATTATTTCTAACATTTTCCAAATGAGATATTCCTTCATAATCATTACCTATAATAAGTATATCATCCTCGTAAACTATAGGATAAATACATCAACCCCAGTGGACAAGCATGTTGACTAGCCAAACTACCTTCAACAATATTCAACATTGCTGGAAACATATGAAAGTGGATTTACTCCACTAGCTCGTAGTTTTTATAGGCATGCCTTGACCAAGGTTGAAATGGTGTTTTATATGAATTTATTATTTATAGAAAAGATCTCCAAAGCTTGCAAATGGGTTTTCAATTCCGGTGGTTCTTTTTGCTTTATTTTTTTTTCCTTTTACATGTTTGGAAGTGTTGAAATTCAGCTCTATTTTGAGTCATAATAACTTTAATGTGATGTTCAGACTTGCTTGCTAACTCTGCTATTTTTCTATTGTCTGATGCACTTCTCTAGGAAGCTGAAATGATTTGTATTTAGTTTTCCTCTCTTCTCTGCATTAGAGGTGTTTTAGTATTTATTATTTTCTCTTTTCCTACATAGCATTAACTTTATTAGTTATTAGTTGGCAGGTTAGTTGTTATAGTATCAAAAAATCATCTTGTATAAAAATAACAGTATAGAGCTAGATAAATAAGAGAAAATTACAGCGTTTTGTGTGCTATTTCTCCCTCTTCCTAATTCCTTGTTCTAAGATTTCTTTATGGTATAAGAGCCCTCCTCCTGCAGGATTGACCACCATCCCTATCCCATGTGTGCACTATATTTTTTACCCCGTGACTGCTCTCCAAACAACTTTGAATAGTGAAACTTCAAACCCCAACAATGAAACACAAAGCCCTACAGGCTAATCTCCTATCTTAAACAAAAGTCCATCTCTTATCATCGCTGGACGTCCACTCAATGGAGATAACTTCTTCTTGTGGTCTCAAAGTGTTCTGATACACTTCAAAGGAAGAGGAAAGGTTGGGTATATTATAAATATTAGAATTATTTTATTATTATTTTGTAATAGTTAGAATACTCTATAAGCTTATTTGGGCTTAGCCCATTAGGTCTTTTTAATGTTTTTAAATAGAGAATTTTTGTACAGTTGTACTTACAATTCAATAATATACAAATCCTTCTTTTCAATTTGGTATCAGAGCTCTTGATTCTGAGGGCTCTGCTTCCGCAAACCATCGCCTTAAAGGCGGAACCCTATTTTCCTCTTTCTGCCACCAGAAAATTTTTCCGAGGACCTTTTGGACCAAGAGGACTACTGTTTCATTCCGTTTTCTCAAATGTATCATTCTACGGAATTTTTTTTTTCACCGGACGACCAAAACAGCTCCAAAATCTTTCACCGGACGACCAAAACAGCTCCAAAAGACGCCAAACAGCACTGTTCCGACGACAAATAACACTATTCCAGCTACTTTTTGACTTCGACCTCGCTGTGAAAAGT